TACATCTATTAATCCAGTTGGCATATTTCTTAATTACATATTATATTACTTTATTTTGTTCCATGTGTACATTTCAAATTCTAATGCATCTTATATAGAATAATATTTTTAGTGTTATGTTATAATGAGTAAATTTAAGTGTGTCCTACACTACACGTGCCCGATTGGTCTGAAGAAATTTACAGATCCTCTTCCTTATGGAGAGGTCAGTTCTTCGTAGCTCTTCATGCAAGCCCTCGGTGGTGGGTGTTGCTTTTATTTTTTGGTCATTGCTTAATCATTTGTTATCATGGCAATCTAACTTCACTACCAATGAGTTATTGCAACTATTTATTAATTTAACGTTATATTATCTTTTGGTCTTGGTGCTTTTTCACAGATTTGGACTCGGGAAGTTCTTCTGGTGATGAATCAGATGTGGTCAAGGATTCAGCTTCTGGAAATAAGATGTTAAATTGTGGTCATGAGGGTAAGCAATGAAAACCAATGAAGAAAATGTTGTGCTATTAGTTAAGCAGCATCTCACCAGCATATTGTAACATTTTAGGGGAGAGTGCTTTACCGGATAGGCAAGTCTCCCCACAAAAGCTTTATCGTGCAGCTTTATTGAGAAGCCGATTCGCAGATATTATAATTAAAGCCCAAGAGAGTAGTCTTGAAAATGTATGTTGAACTTTGATTTACTAGTTAAGCTTGAGCTTGCTTTTATTGCATTCCACTCCTGTTGAGTAACAAATGGGGCAATCGAAAACTTTCAGGGCAAGAATCAGGATCCTGAAAAATTGAAGCTTAACAGAGAAGAGCTTGAAAGACGAAGAAGAGGAGGTCTGAGTTTCTTGAAAATGTTATTGTATTGGGCTAATGCACATAGCTTCATGCTGAAAATACATCTAGATTTATTCTTATTTAATATGCAATGGTGTTTTGAACTTCTGTTCATTCAGAGAAAGCTCGTTTGCAAGCAGAAGCCAAGGCTGCAGAAGATGCTCGAAAAATGGCTGAAGCAGAGGCCGCAACAGAAGCCAAAAGGAAAAGAGAACTTGAAAGGGAAGCAGCACGTCAGGCCCTGCAGAAGGTAAAAAGTTTCTTGAGTGACAAATCATACGGAATTCTAGCATTAACCCCACCTCTACCCCCGTGTTCATTACTTGACATTACGTTCTTAACAGATGGAGAAGACCGTCGAGATTAATGAGAATATCCAATTTACTGAAGATTTCGAAATCTTTAGAGCTGCTCTGGACGAGAACTCAGAAGGCACGATAGAGCAGACAAATCCTGAATGTTCTGAAAATGGCCTTGGTAGTCTCAAATTTCAGGCAACAGGTAATCCACTGAAGCAACTTGGACTATACATGAAGGAGGACGAGGAGGAAGAAGTTAAATATCAAAGTAACCCAGGTACTTCAAATGATATGGAAGATGGAGAAATTGATTGATCAACTTGTTTCAATCTCAAGAGCCTATAATGACGAGACTGTAATCTTTGATGAAATTTGAGGTGTTTTCCTTAAAATCCTCTTACTGTTCTGGTGAAATCTTAACCATTTTCTTGGGCCC